ATTCAATTAAAGATATTATATTAAAAAACAAATAGCTAAATAAATTATTAACTCTCCCTATTAATTTATACCTCACTACAAGAATGATTGCAGATATTGATATTATTGATCAAAAAGTTTCAAAGGCCTTGTAATAGGTTTCAGATCAAATTGAGATATAAGAGTTTTTTTTCTTATAACAATTCAAAAGCCAATCTCAAATTTACATTAAAGATTAATAAAACTTAAACTTGAATGAGGTTTAAAAACAAGAATTAATTGAAAAAGTATAATCATGTTACTTTGAATACTTTTAGTTAATTGCTATGCAAATGTTTATTTAAAAAGGTGAAAAATCAAATTATCTTTCAACAACAAAAGAATCTATTAAATTCTAACCAAGCCAAGATGCGTCTGCTATTTTCAAAAAATATAATCTAAAAATAGAGAGCCTTATAAAAAAGATAGCTAACTATGTTGATTCTAGAGTCATTACAAGAATTAACTTAGATTTAGATGCAGAAAATACTAATCATAAATCTTAAAATAATAAATAGAAAGATTAATAAGACAATAAATCTTAAGAATTTGAGTTCAGACATAAATCTCTTTTTGAATATTTTGCTGCCAGAGCTATGAAATACGATTTTGATATTCATAGAGAAAATATCTATAAATTAGATATAAAATAACTAAAAGAATTTAATATAAATAAAAGAATTGTCATGAGCAACTAATCAGAGCAATAAATTCTTATAAAGCTTTACAAATTGATTTAATCTGATATACATTCATCGTTTTTTGAGAATAATTATAGTGAAGAAGATATATCTAAAACAAATAAATATATTCAATTCATTAAAAAATCTACAATTTCAAAATCCACTGAAAAAAGCTAAATCGATGTTGGAGCATCAAATTTATTATCAGCACTCTTTCTTTCAAAATTCTCATTTACTGATTTGACTTTCAAAAAATGTTCATTTTCTTAAGCTTATATCTCTTCGAAATATCCTAAACTTGCTGAATTTAAGGATTGTAACTTAAGTCATTCGTTTATTCACAATCAAAATTTAGATAACTATGAAACTTCTAACACTAAAAATACAGCTTTTAATAGTTTCTAAAAAAAGTTTGATACTGAAGACATTTACTCATTTAATTAAGTTATATTTTATAAAAATAGTCTTGTATCCATAACAAGAACTGGATATATCAATTAATTCGAAATTTCTCAAAATAAAAATTTGCCTTGTAAAAAATTATAATCAAAACAAATTACAAATTCTCGTTTGGAAAGTATTCACTATGTTAGCACAAAAAATATTTTGATTATTAGAGCTGTTAGATCTATATTTGAGATTAATACTAAGACTTTTGAGACAATTAATACTTTCACTTTTGATTTTCCTATTTCCAGTTTAGCAATAAATAATTCAAAATACTTAGTTACTTTAAATACAGAATAAATATTTTATGGAGATATATAAAATGGTTTCATTCTTCTAGATGAAAGCAAAATTTAAGCTTAATAATGTTTAATGTTAAACAATTCAATCATAGCCTCTTAAAAGAAAGAAATTAACATTTATAATTTATCAGATTTATAAATTATAAAAAGTATAAAAAATAACCACAGTGATTTGTCTGTATCTTCCTTTACTTCAGATGGCAAGTACCTCGCAATAAGCTTTAGTGCTGAAACTTGTTAAATATGGAGTGCAGAAAATGGATTTGAAGTCATAAAAACAACTAATGAACATTAAAGTTCTATTTGGTCAGTTGCTTTTTCTTCAAACGGTAAATATCTGGCAACAAGTTCGAAGGATAAAACTTGCATATTTTAGAATGTAGAGAAGGAATTCTAATTAATAAAAACTATTGATGAAGGGTAAAACAAAATAGTTAACTCAATTGTTTTTTCTGAAGATGGAAAGTATTTTGCAATGGGTTCAGAAGATAACACTTGCAAAATATTGAATGTAGAAAATAACTTCGAATACATAAATACTATCTAAGGACATACTAATTCGATCTCTTCTGTTGCTTTTTCTCCTGATGGCAAGTATCTTGCGACAGGTTCTTATGATAACACCTGTAGAATCTGGATAGTATAAAATGAATTATAAATGATAGATACTGTACTAGAACATACTGAAATGATTTCTTCAGTTGCTTTTTCTCCTGATAGCAAGTACCTTGCAACAGGTTCTTTAGATAATACTTGCAAAATCTGGGATCTAAATAAATTATAACACATATAAACAATAGGAGAACACACTTCAGGAATTAGTTAAGTTGCTTTTTCTCCAGACAATAAATATCTAGCAACTGTCTATTACGATAATACATGCAAAATCTGGAATGCAGAAAATGAATTTAAACTCATAAATACTATTCAAACAGGATTAACTTGTCAAGTAGCTTTTTCAGCTGATGGTAATTATTTGGCAACAAGTGCATTTGATCATCGTATTTTCATATTAAATATCTGGAATATAAAAAATGGGTTTGAACATCTTAACAAAATTCAAACTGACCATACTAATTAGATTATCTCACTTGCTTTTTCTGCTGATGGCAAATTTCTCGCGTCAGGTTCAGGTGATAGCACATGCTAAATTTGGAATGTAGAAAATGGATTCGAACAAGTAATTACTATTAAAGGACATACTGATAGAATTTCTTCGATTCATTTTTCTCCGGATAGCAAGTATCTTGCAACTGGTTCATTTGATAACACTTGCTAAATCTGGAATGTAGAAGATAAATTTTAACTCTTAAATAAAATTGTAGGCCATAAAAATTCTATTTTCTCAATTGCTTTTTCAGTAGATGGAAAGTACCTAGCAACAGGTTCAAAAGATAAAACTTGCAAATTGTGGAATGTAGAATATGGATTTGAACTTATTAATGGGATGAACGATAATGATTATAATAATTAAATTTAATCAGTTTGTTTTTCTGCAGATAATAAGTATTTAGCAACTAGACAACGTGATAATACATGCAAAATTTGGAATTTAGAGAATGGATTTGAGCTTATTTACACTATTGAAGGGCATGCTAAATAGATTATAGCAATTACTTTTTCTTCAGATGCTAAGTACCTCGCAATAGGTTCAGGTGATTTCACATGTAAAATCTGGAAAATTGAAAATGGATTCGAGTTAATTAAAACTATAGATGGACATACTGATCAAGTTGAATCAATCGCTTTTTCTATAGATGGCAAGTACCTAGCAACAGGTTCTGAGGATATGACTTGCAAAATCTGGAATATAGAAAATGGATTTGAACTAATTAATACAGTTAAAGGACATTAAGAAGGAATTTCCTCAGTTGCTTTTTCAGCTAATTGCAAATATCTTGCAACAGGTTCTTTTGATACAACTTGCAAAATTTGGAATATAGAAAATGGTTTTTAACTCTTATAAACAATTGAAGAAGACGATGATAGTATTTATAAAGTTGATTTTTCTTCAGATGGAAGGTTGCTCCTAACAATTTCAAAAGATTATTGCAAAATATGGAATGTAGAAAATGGATTCTAACTCATAAATTCGATAAAAGAGCGTTCTAGTATAAATTCAGTTGATTTTTCTTCAGATTCCAAATATTTAGCAATATGCTCTATTGATCGAATTTGTAAAATCTGGCATATAGAAAATAAATTTTAATTAATTTATACAATTGGATAAAAATTTAAATCTGATTCTATTTCTTCAGCTGCTTTTTCTAAAGATTGCAAGTACCTAGCAACCGTTTGTCCTGATATTTGTAAAATCTGGAATTTTGAAAAAGGTTTGAAACTATTGAATAAAAATGAAACATAAAATAAAGAAATTTAGGCGACTTCATCTTAGACAAAGAATTAAAATATTAAAAATGTTTTCTCATAAGTTTATTTTGTTTGAAAATAACCAGTTTAAAATTTTTCTATATTTACATAATTTGAAAAATTCATATTTAATAAGCTTTATAAGTTTTTTTATTGACAAAATAATCATAATAAAATATTACTATTATTATTTGTTTGAATTAGAAAAAATTTTTTTCTTTAAGATTAATTTTATATTAATTTTCAATAATCTAAACAAAATTATAATTTTTTGCTAAAAATTATGAATTTATTTTAGAAATTTCATAAATTTATTTATTTTTTGCAAAATAGCTCATTTAAAATTACAAATTAAATATGGAGGGAAGAAAAGTGAAAAAATATTAAGCAAAAATATTCATTTTTTTATTTTATAATCATTAGATTTTTAAATATTATAACCTCATGATATAGAGTAACATAATTCAAAATCTTCATGCAAAAGAGTTAATATATTTGACCACGACATAGTTAAATTATCTAAGACCAACTACTTAATTGAAAGAAATTACGATTGATTAATACATCAATTTTTGATTAATTTTTGCAAATTTGTATGATAAAAATAGATTTTTTATTAATTATATTATAAATATAAGTAAATAAATTCTCTCTATCTTATTGTTTATTAATATTAATATTCATTTTTAATTTTATTTTATTTTTAATTTTTAATGAAGTAAAATAAAATAATTTTTCTTTCATTTCTTTTCCAAATGCAATTTTGATGAACTTAATAAAGATAACTGAGAGATTTCATTGAATTAATAATCAAAGACAATAAGTAGAAAAAGTAGTATTAGGAAAAAAATGAGAGTAAAATAAGTAAGATTAAAGCTAAAAGTTTAATAAATAGAGTAAACATAATTTAAAGTAAAAAAAGAGAGCAAATGTGTTGAAGACCATATATAGTTACAAAGAAATTCCTTTTGTTTAAGCGTAAGAAGAAGCTATAAGAGGGCATATTTCTCAGCATCTTCAAGCATTTAATTATGATGAAACTATTAAGCATTTATTAAAGCTGAATTTATTCGTAGATAGATATATTATCTAAAGATATTTAAAAATATTATATCTTTCTTCTTACCAAGAGACAAGCTCACCCATCCAAAGGAGTTAGTTAGATTAGAAAGCAGTTAAGGAGGTTTATTCAAAAAAATATCTCCTCATATTAGTGAAGATATAGTCGAAATGTATTAAGAATATTTTGCTCACAAATACTTCTAAAAATGGATGGTGAATTTAAAAAAGAGTTTTATTAAATAGATTGAGAGATAAAATTTGGTAATCTTATTTAGAAAAGACAACTTCAGGATAACCATCTCGTTTATTTCAATAAAAACTATTAGAAAAGAGAGAGATAAGCAACCAACAAATACAAAATGAATAGAAAGAATCCTTAGAAATAGTTTTTCAAAATGTTAAGCTTCATATCCCAATGATAAAGAAAAAAAATGTAAAACTGAGCGGATTTATTTGACGAATTGCAATTTATTTTAGAATGACTCAACGTAATATTTAAGAGAGAAAATTGAATGTTAGCAATAATGCATGCAAAGATTAGAGCTTTTTATCAATTAAAAGTTATAAAAATAGTTATAAGAACATGAAAACAATTGCAAATATTATTCAATGGTAAAAGAAATATTAAAAATCTAAACGTATTAATAGGAAGGAAAATATTTAAAAAATAACACTAAAAAAAGGAATTATTTAATAATAATACTAACCAAACAAATTATTTAATTAAAATTACCTTAACTTAGATTTTAAGGCAAAATTTGCTTAATTTAATAATCAAAAATCAAATAAACAATATTCAATCGAAAATTAGTTCGTATCGTTGAAAATTGATTGATTCAGTTTTCCTTAATTCAGATTCAAAATTGAAAAGCTAATCAATTATGGAGGAAATAAATTATTAGAAGAAAACCATAAATGCAAACAATAAATTAAGAAACAAGAGGAATTGTTATTTCTCAGCTAAAAGTGAATTTAATAGGTAAATCAATAGAATATCAAAAAATTCATTGTATAATTTTGCTAAAACATTTTAATCTAGAATTCAAAATAAAATTTGATCTAAACACATAGCTATGAAATGAAAGTTAATTTACATGAAAATAGAACTTCTAATGAAACTTCTATTTAGCAATAAATATGTTGAAACTTAATAAAATTTTAGCTATCTAAATTGTGATAATAAGTAGCTTAAAGTATTATTAGCATTATAACTATAAACATATAATTAATACTTAAAATTTAAAGATATTATTAGCTTTAATGTCATAATTTGTATAAATATGCTTAGATAGAAGAAGGTGGAGATTATCTGTTGCAGTAAATAAAAGGTATTTATTGTGGATCCAGTTTCGTATTAACTAATAAGAAAAGAAATCAAACGCAAAAGTACAAAAAATTAAGAGCTAAGAAAGAATGAAGGAATAATATTAAATTAAAAGCAAATTCGAAAAATTTAAATCATATAATGAATTTTTTACCATCAAAGAAGAGAGCGATGATTGAAGTAAGATTAATAATAGATAAAGAATATATGATTTCAGAGAGTAAAGTAAATAGTTTTGAAAGAAATTAGACCAAAAGTAATATATATGATAATTTACTCAACTTAATAACTATTTTCTTATTATTAAAAAAAAGGATTCTAAGTTATCTGTACAAACTGATGTTTATGCGATAAGCAAAAAATTATAAAAACTCTTGATTTATTGTAAAGAAAATCAAGAGTGACAGGCATATTTGTTTGTATTTATTTTAATATTTTGAAATTTTAAATTATTGTTAAAGAGTAGGTTTAGATGATTCATATTATTTGTATTAACCATTTTATATTCTACTTTCTTAATTTTTACCTATATATTTGAGCATTTTTTTTGTGCTAGGTTTATTTTTTTATTTACTAAAAAAAATACTTATCCTTTAAAATTATTATTAAAAATTTTTATTTAAAAATAAATCTATTTTTAAATATTAGAACCTCCGCCATCGAATAATGCAGTTTAAATATTTCATACAAAAGAGTTAGTATATATATATATTTGATCAGAACTTAATTAATTTGTCTAAGATCGATTACTTAATTAAAAAAAGATACTTACAAAAAAATTAAGATTAATGAATGAATACATCAATTTTTGATTAGCTTTTGTAATTTTAATGATAAAATTAGAAGATTTCGTTATTAATTAATTATATTAGCAAATGAATTATGATTATTTTATTTATTGTCTTTTTTATCTATTTTGTATTATGTTTGTTTGATTTTTAATTAAGTAAAATAAATAGTTTTTTTATCATTTCTATACCAAATTATTGGTGAATTTAATAAAGTTAACTGATACAAATCTCAAGTATTTTTAATAAGTTTGAAGACAAACATTATTTATCTAATTAAATTAATAACCAAAGACAATAAGTAGAAAAAGTAGTATAAGAGTAAAATGAGAGCAAGGTAAGTAAAATAAAGAGCTCAAAATTTAAGTAAAGTGAGCAGATGTATTTTAAAGTAAAAAAAGAGCACAAATGTCTTCAAAATGAAAAAATGTTTCAAAAAAATTCCTTTTATTTAGCTGTAAGAAGAGGTTATAAGTGGGAATATTTCTCGCCATCTTCAAACATGTAATTATGATGTTATTATTAAGTGTTTATTAAAGCTGAATTTATTTGTTGAAATATTCTCTAAAGATATTTTAAAATATTTAGATCTTCCTTCTAGCCGTGGGACAAATTAAACAGAAAAGAGTTAGATCAGGAAGTAGTTAAGGAGGTTAATTCAAAAATAAATATCTCCTCATATCATGGATGATATAGTAGAAAGCTATTAGGAATTATTAGCTCACAAATACCTCTAAAATGGAAGGCGCATTTAAAAAAGAGTTTTGTTAATTAGCTTGAAAGATAAAATTTGGCAATCTTATTAAGAAAAATTAACTTCAGGATAACCATCTAGTTTATTTCTATAAGAACTAGTAGAAAAGAGCAAAATAAGCAACTAAGAAAAAGCAAAAAATGAATAGAATACTTAGAAATAGATTTAAGTTTCAAAATGTTAAGCTTCATATCTCTATGATAAAGAAAAAAAATTTAAAGCTGAGCGCATTTCTTTGCCGAATTTCTATTCGTTTTAGAATGCTTTAAAGGAATATTTAAGAGAGAAAATTGAATGTAAGCAATAATACATTCAAATATTAGAGCTTGTAGATCAAAAGTCACTAAAATAGTAATAAGACGATCAAAATAATTGCAAATTGTATTCAATAATAAAAGAAATATTAAATGTCTAAAGGCATTAATAAAAAGGAAAGTATTTAAATAATTAAACTAACAAAGGAAATTATTAAACTAAAGTTACCTTAACTTAGATATAAAGACAGAATTTGCTTAATTTAATTATCAAAAATCAAATAAACAAATTCAATAGAAAATTAATTCATATCGCTGAAAATTAATTGAGTTTTCCTTAACTCAAATTAAAAATTGAAAAGCCAATTTGTACTGATAATAAAACCTAATAATAGCCTAACAATTGTAAATATCAAGTTGGTTCTCAGTAGTTAAAATTATAAAAATTGAATTTATAAGATCCTTCTAAGCTTAAATCTAATAGAGAATTTAGAAAATTGAGAAACATATTTAAAGTTAAAGAAGATAAGCTTATAGGTGGAGGAATATGTGGTAGTAAGTAAAGAGTTGGAACTTCAAATATAATTTAAGTATAAAAATAGAAATAAAATCTATAATAAATTATTCATGAAAAGGATAAACTTGAATAAGACTTTTAAGTTTAAAATTCTGAAGAGTAACAACAAATTGAGGATGATGAAATCACTTTTAAAGAGTTTAATAAATAGTATAAAAAATATATTAATGATGATCAAATCAGTGAAAAAATAATAGAAGGACATGTAAGAAAGATTATTGAAAAAAGTCTTTATGAATATAGAGAATACATAATTTAAGTAGATATTAGACATAAAGTTATTGATATGATTAATTTATTAATCAATTATTTTCTTATCATTAGATAAAGCAAGTCAACTTAGTCAATACAATCTGATATTAACTTAATAAATAGTAAGTTGGAAACACTTATTATTTACTGCAAAGAGAATAAAGAAAGACATCCTTGTTTGGATCTTTATCAATATTTTGATATCTTAAAAACTTTGAATGGTTAAAGATAAGGTTTAGATGAAATTAATAAAAGTAATGC